CGGTGGGGACAAGAACTGAGGAAAATACACGATGCTCCCCCAACAGCAAGGAAGCCCAGCTCGCTGAGGCTCCTGAGAGTTTCCAGCACACGATGCTTGTGTGCTTCTGCACGGTGGTGTGAGCAGAGGCTGTAGTCTGGGGGAAGAAGCGAGCTCTCTCTTTTGCAGACTGTGCTTTGTGTGAAGTTGTAAAGGAGACTGTGACTGTCTCTGGCATCCGAGTCTTTCCTTTCAGCGTCTTTGTAAGACCTCCTCTCCACTATTGAGCTCAAGGTCATATTTTCTCTTCCCTCTTGAAACCTGTGCTGGGTGGAGGGTGTCACTTAGGCTGGGGTGGGCTTAATTCACAGGCCAGGTTCTCTGCTTTGCCACTCTCGGCAGTGTTTGTATTTCAAGTCTTCTCTATAATATGCAAAGGGTTTTGTCTTCTATTAAAGGACTTCAGGAAGCCACAGTTGCATGGGAGAATGGTTTGGGGGCAGGGGATCTTCCTGAAGTCACCAGAAGTTCTTCAAAAATGTCAATCTTAAAAGAACTCACAGTGTGGTGTGAAAATCACCCTCAAAGTGTATGCTTGCCCGAGGTTGGGACAAAACCACCATGTCAGGGAGATGATGGAACCATACGTTTACCCACAGTGAATAAGATGGCTCTGCTCATAACACAAGTTAGTTTAGTGTAGTCATGTGATCGGATTCACATTTCCCTCTAAGGAAAATGATATGTATTTGAATTGTGGTTCTATGCTATGACTAAGTTCTGATTATGGTGGTGTTGGGGGACCAGTATTTCTGCGAGAGCTTTTACTTACGTGTGAGAAACACTGCACTTTGTTCCTCTGTATCCTTTGTCCAAAGCTCAGAGTGCTCTTCCAGCATTATTAACTCATTCATCCTTGCAACACTCCCAGAAAACAGATCGGAGGCAACGTGATCAGCCTATTTTTCAGACAGGGAAATAGGGGCATAGAGGACCTCAGCAAGGTCCCCAAAGCTGCATGAGTCAGAGCTGAGCACAGAACAGAACCTACTCAGGCTCCACCCAGTCTGTCTCTCTGAACCTTTCCTCCCCCCTGGAGTGAAAGCCAGTAACAGCTGGGTCTTGGTAGTTGTTTCTGTTTTTGAATACCAGCGTGAAGCAACAAACTGAGTATCTTGCCAAAACCAAATCCAAAACTACTGCTTCTTCAAGTGTAAAGCTAATGCTCTTTAAGGGAGAAGAGACATGTATATTAATCAGCAAAATAAAATTGGATAATCACTTAGGTAGAACCTTAAAGTCCTCAAAATCTTCTAACGTTGACCCATTAACTTTTCTGAATCAGGAAATTCCATTTGGCCAAGCAGAAATGAAACTGGAACTTCATAAGGGTTAGGATTCAGTTTGAAACTGAGAAGGACTAACATCTGTCTTTTAAGTTCAACAAACAACTTTTCTCCTTGGTTTCACCTGAATGCAGACTGGTTTCACGTGGACTTCATTGTCATTTTAGTGGAGCTAGAGGAGGGGGCCACTGTCTGATCAGGGTGGGTGTTAGTTAATGTCCAAGGAGCCACTGAAAGCCTGGGACCTGGGGTCAGAGGGTCCCAGAGACTGACTTCAAAGGCAGAGTACCAAATTCAGTGGGAAGTCATGAGCCTTCTTGGACCTTTGCCTTTATTTATTATTCATTTATTTATTCAACAAACATTTATCGAGTATCTATTATAAACCAGCCATTGGCTGGGTGCAAGCATAGATAAGGTGAATGAGACATAATACTTATCTTTCAGGAGTTTGCAATCAAGGAGCAAAGATAAACAAGCAAACTATTAATTTCTATGCAAAGTAATGAGTAATTGTAGAGATATTTACAAAGTCTAATTGGGGTAAATTGGATCGAATGGCTCAGAGAAATCTTCCAAGAGGCATCTCTTGACAACCACATAGAGGACAGGTCTGAAGGATGAGAACAAATTTGCTGAGGGGATCGATGAGGCTAAACTTTCAAGGGTTATCCATGTGCTGAAGTTTGTTATTAGGATCAATGGCATCATTTACAGTAGCAGCAAGCAGTTACTGAATTCCTAACATGTGCAAATTACTCTTCTGGGCTACTGAGAATGCAGACACACACTAGAAATGATTCTGGTTCTAGGGAAGTTATTATCTGCTTGAGAAAAAGGAAATACTGTAAAGAACATATAGCAATTTAATGTGATAGTGCAATGCAGATATGATAGAAAATTTAACAGTGCTGTTTGAGAACTGAGACAATAAACACAATAGAAATCCAGAGAGAAGGGGCTGGTAAGTAAAAATGCTAGATTTAGGGATACTTAGGGGAAAAAGGAAACCAAATGAGGTCCATATTGGCTGAGTTCTGGTAGTTTGTATTTTGTGACCCATTTCTTCTCAGTTGTCAAATACACATATGTGGAGTTGTTTGTGATAGTCCCTGATTATTCTCTTAATGTCTGTAAAGTCTGTGGTAATATCTGCTATTTTGTTGCTTGGTAATTTGTGATATCCTTCTTTGTTTCTTTGACAGTCTTCCTAAAGGTTGTTTATTTTATTGACCTTTCAAAGCTCTTTGTTTCATTGATTTTCTTTATTGTTTTTCTCTTTTCAATTTTACTGATTTCTGCTCTTACCTTTATTAGTTCCTCTTTTCTCTTTGATTTAGCTTAATTTGCTCTTCTTTTTCTACATTTTTCAGGTGGGGGCTTTATTATTGATTTAAGATGTTTCCTCTTTTCTTATGTATGTGTATAGTGCTATAAATTTCCCTGTCAACACTGCTTTAGCTGTGTCCCATAGATATTGATATATTGTCTTCATTTCCATTCAGTTAGATGTATTTTTAAATTTCCTTTGGACTTCATTGACCTTGGATATTATTATAGTATTATTTGACCTTGGATAATATTATTAAATAATAAATTATTTTTATTAAATAATAAATTATTATTAAATAATATCCAAGAATTATTTAAAAGAAGTTTTAGTTGTTATTTCTTTAGTAGTATTTGTAATTTTCATTTTATCTTTCTATTACTGAGTTCCAGTTTGATACCATTATGAACAGAGAACATGTTCTGTATGATTTCACTTCTTTTAAATTGTTGAGGTTTGTTTTATGGTGCACGTATGGTCAGTCTTGGTTCATGTTCTATGGCACTTTAAAAGAAAGTGTATTCTATTGCTGTTGGATGTGGTGTTTTATACATGTCAATTAAATCTTGCTCATTAATTGTACTGAGTTCTTTTATATCCTTGCTAATTTTCTGTCTAAAAGCTTATCAGTTGTTGAGAGAGGGATATTGAATTTGCCAATAACAATTGTGTATTTGTCTGTTTCTTCTTTCACTTCTATCAGCTTTTGCTTTATATGTATTCCTTCTATACAGTTGTATTGGAAGCGAGTTTCTTATAAACAGCATATATAGTAGATCATGTTTTCTGATCCACTCTACCAGTCTCTGTTTTTTATTTGGTGTAATAAAAAATCTTCTATTTTTTCATTTGTGTCAAGCATATCTATAATTGCTGTTAAAGCATTTTTTATGATTGCTAATTTAAAATTGTTGTCAAGTAATTCTAAGTTCTGTGTCTTTTAGTGTAGGCCCTATTGATGGCCATTTTTCATTCAGTTTAAGATATGTCTGTTTCTTAGTCTGAAGAGTGATTAAAAAAATTTTTTTAACTTGGACATTTCTGTATTATGTTCTGAAATTCTGGATTTTATATAAACCTTTTGTTTTAGTTGACTTTGGGGATACACTTGGCAGGGAAAGCAGGCTGGGTGCCTCACTACTGCCAGGTGGAGGAGGGAGTCCAGGCTCCTCGCTTGGCCTCTGTTGACACCCAAGGAAGGGGACCATCTCATTACTGTCTGGCAGGGGTGGGTGTTCTAGCTTCCCACAAGGTCTCCAGTGACATCTAGATGGAGGTGGCCTCATTACCACTGGTGATAGTCAAAAGTTCTGACTACCCACTCTTTCAGCAGCATCCCTGGAAAAGGGGAGGGGGTCCTCATCACTGACATACAGGGGCCAGGGTTCTGCTTAATAATATACTCTGAATGCTTGGCATAAATAGACACCTGGTTAGTTGTTGCTGTATCATGATATCCCAGGAAGGTTTTGGCAGCTCTGTAGTTCCTACAGGACTCATGTCTTTTGGTAAGTGACAATCAGGGCATTAATAGTTATCCTCTCCCTGGGAGCTGACCCTGATTCTTTAATTAGCCACAGTCTTGAGCTGAGCCATCGCTACCTCTGCCCAGGTGCCTTGCACTATCGCTGCAGGTCATGCCGGGCCCACGATACTATATGTTCAGGTTCACCCTCTTCTTTTCCACAATGAAGCTGTACCTCCAGTACTTATTCCACTGGTAGGTTAATGTTTTCCTCCATCGCCTTTCCTTTCCTAGCTGAGTTTGTCTCACTCAACTGGCTCTCCCAATTTCTTTTCAAAAAAATGTACCTGCATGTTTAGACCTATTCCTTTTTATACCATCACTCTCTTGGTCACAGGCTTCTCCTCCATTCACCTTAAGTCACGGTTATTCTACTTACTTTCCAGATCCTCATTTTAATAACACTTAGAATGCTATAATAATTATATGATACAGGAAAATAGGACAGACAGATGAGAACAGCCTTACTCTGAATATTCAGAGAGCAAAGAAGGAATCTGGACATGAGTAAGTAGAGCTCAGATTTTCAGGCCATTCACTGAGCCACTCTTCTATTTAGGAGGCACTGAGAGGTAGCATTCATTGAATGTGGAGTTAGAATGCTTGGGGACTAGTTTGGAAGGTGGGCTTCTAATATATCTAGTTTGAACATATCTTTGTGTGACTTGGGAGTTAGAGAAAGCATTGGTTATATAGATGCTAGCACTCCCAGCTACCTCTTGGCATTACCACAATTCCAAAGAAAAATATTAGAAAGGCATGATTGTAAATAAAAAATGGGAAGCCTGTGAACATAAACCTGACCTCTGCAGCCTAGGGCATGGGTGGAGCTCAGGTAGAGAGACGGGGAAAGGAGTGGAAATTTCTGCTAAGGCAGTTCTGCCAAGCACACTTCAGACAATACAACCCAGAGTTTGTCTCATAAATATGTGCTGAATTGAAGAGACTCAAGGTATGAACTGTTTGTAGTAAAGAATTAAAGACACTAAACAAATCATTACATAATTGCAATTTTCTGTTTTCCCCACTACTCTGTAAACTCTATATTATTTGATACTGTATCAAGCAGGCGATCAATGAATAGTTAATAAGTATAATTTTAAAAACATGATCCCATTTGGAAAGGAAGAAAAAAAGGAAATGGAAGAAAGGAAGGGAAGAAGGAAAGTGGGTCTTGGGTAATTGTGAGTGCTATTCATCAACACTTTTGGCCTTTTCCCTATTGGGCACGTAGGTTGCCATTTCCTGACCCCCTTGAAGTCAGGCACGTTTGGCCTATAAAATGTGACAGATGAAGCACGTCACTTTCTGGCCGCCTACCTTAAGAGCTAATAAGGTGTGGTTCCTACGCAGTTTCCCTCGGCTGTGGCAAGCAGCACTGCTCCAGATGGGGAAGGCCACCTGCCTGGCTCCCTGCGAGCCCAGCAAGGACATTCTGTGTAAGCAAGAAATAAATCTTTATAGTTTTAAATGATAAAAGGCAGGGGTTGTGTGTTATTAAAACATAACATAGCCTGTTCTGGATGACAGAAAGTATTAAGAGTATGTCTTTTACCATGGAAATAGAGGTGATTTCCTTTTCTTCTTTCTGGTGTTTTCTATTTCCTAATTTTCAAAACATATTTTAATCTATTTTTAATTTTCTAGAAGGTGTATTATTTTCATCATAAGGAAATAAAGTAATTTAAAATAAACTGGGACAGATTTTATGATTTGTGTATGTTTATAATTTGAAGTGATATTCTTACTGATAAAGGCATGAAATGTACAGGAATTAGTATCATTTTCTTGAACGTAGGGTATGTTTTAGCACATACCCTTTAGTTTACAAGAACTCTGAGAAAGTATCACACTGCCATTGAATCAAGGCCTACCATCTTGACATAGGGCTGCTCTGTCCCTTCAGAAATGCACCTCCTTGAGGTGGTGGACTCCGTTGGCATCTAGGGAGACAATGTCTCCATCTGCAATTTGTTAATGAGACCAGGCAACACGATAAATGATGATAGGTATTATTCTTTGCTAATTTTCCCTTCCCCCATCTTTCCCTTTGCACACTACACACACACACACACACACACACCATTATTAATAATGCAGTGGGCTCATTCGCATATGCCCAGAATATTTGCACATTTTCCTTATTAAACACCAAGGTCTTTCATTTGAATTTTATAGTAGGGCCCTGGAGGAGCGTCATTCTGTTTCCACTTTGGCCCAAACCCAGAACTCTGAGGCATGGGATTTTACATGCATTTATCTGCACATAGTCACTGGCTGACCTGGATGAGATCAGTAAAATCTCATGCCTTCAAGCTGGTACACTCAAAGCCAGGGCCAATCTAGGGAGAACTGACAAGGTCTCAGCCCTGTATGTTTTTTTTCAACCTCCTCTGACACAAATAGATGACAATGTTGATGTCTTTGACGACTGAGCCTCTATAGACTAAAACTATGACTCTCCAGATATTTTTGTAAGGTTGATGTTTTCTTTGAGATTTTGCCTACTGCCTCTAGAGTATTATTTACAGAATTTTCTGTCACTTTACTAACCTAAAATGTGTATAGCACAATAGATCTCAATAAAACAAAAACCTTTATTGGTTTTACTAAAACAGACAGTAAAGCCTTGATTTTATAGAGAAACCCTTTACTCTGGTTCTTCTTTAGCCCCTCAGAACCCAGGTTTAGTGTGTGGGATAATGAATTATAGTTCTGAATAACAAGTTCAAAAGAACCAGAAGTGAAGGAGGCTAGTGTTTAACACTTCTTGGAAAGGAAAAATTGGGGGGGGGGGGATGGTCTCTTTTTTAAGGAACAAAAGAGTGATTAGATACTTAACTACCTAGAAGAGAAAAGACAACCTTATTAAGAACTTTCACATCTCTGAAATCAGATTTAGAATAGTGGCAGATAATGACAAATGTACAAATTAGTATAAATGGTCCCTCCAACCTTATCTGGAGTTTCATTAAACATTTTTAAAATAAAATTAACAAAACAAAAAATACATGCCATACAAAACAAAGACCTTTTACTGAAATTGTCTAGTTTAGCTTTCCATCGACTTCATTTCTTTGCACTCTGTAAAATGTCTAGACAGAGACAAAAATTATTATAATTTTTTAAAAATGTCAACCCTTAAGCACAGTTTCATGAACTTACACTGGAAACTAGGTCTCAGTGAGGAAGATGCCCAGGGATCCTGAAGACTCAAAAGGTTCTGCAAAAAGGTTAATAGCCCTTAATAGCCCTCTTCCCTTGTTACTAAAAATGACCCAAAGAAGGTATTTCGTACACCCACAGAGATCAGCTGCTTCAACTGCTAGCTCACACTGCTCGGCTCCTTTTGCTTTCATCTCATCTTGCTAGCATCTTACAAAAATGATTGTTGCAATCAACCTGATCACCAGCATACATGGCAATTCAAATTACATTCCGTGTTCCTTCTTTTTTTAATTCCATTAATGTAATGTAATCTGCAGAAGCCATTCATCAGGAACTCCAGACCTGGTGCTGTGGGACTAGCTCAGAGTTTACGGTTAAGGCCCCTTATTTTGTGGATCTAATTAGCACTTAGATGAGCTTCCTGGCTTCTAAAACATTAGCTTATGCCTTGATCTGGATTCTAAAATTGGAACCATTGAAAAAATGCTCTCATTTCCTATTGTATACAAAATGTATTGATCTGCTGAAAAAGAGATCCATATTGCCGCAATTAAGGAAATCAACTAGCCCAGCCACTCACAAGTAATTTTTTACCTGGGTCCTATTGTGTGAGCCCCAGGATAAAGTAAGGAGCTAGTTTCTGGAATTTGTAAAAAAGTTGCTGGTAAATGACATCAAACTTTGGTGGATTCCAGAGAGCCCCATCTCTTAAGATCCTTTGAAATCCTTTTCCACTGCCTTCCTTCACAGCCTGGCTAGCTCACCCACAAAGTTCAGCTTTTGTCATGATAACGTGGGTGCAGAGTGCTGGAGGGCAGAGAAAAGGGTAAAAGGGCCAGCTTGTCCTGAGAGCTTTTGGGGGCTGAAATCTTGTTTGCCTAAGGCAACTGAGTGTTCCAGAATTCCGACTCCCTTGCTACCCGGGGCACACACACTCTTGTGTCATGTAGAAGTCATAGAGCTGTGACTTGGAAAATTCAGGCCTGGCACCTATGCATGTTTTTGAAATTGTGGAGTCAGAAGGGAGAAAGGGGACAAGGAGAATAGAGACAATCTTAATAGCTAGGCAGTCAGTGTGTTGCCTTTCTTTCCCCATGGCCAGGTAAGGCTTCGGTCAGAGAAGAAACCAGGGGTTGCGGGGTGTGGAGCTGCTAGCCCGGCTTCCCCTGGAACTCGTGCTAACTGCTGTGTCTTTCTTTCCACCCAGGACAGCTTTCCTGCTCGCTTCGGAGGAGTCCATTTTGTCAATCAGCCCTGGTACATTCATGCGCTGTACACGCTCATCAAGCCATTCCTGAAAGACAAGACCAGGAAGCGGGTAATGAAAACAAACACCCAACAGTGGGGCTGGGGGGTTCACAGAGGGACCATTACTGTGCCTCCTCTTCACAGTCAATCTCTCTCCCTCTCTCCTTATTTTTTACTTTGGTTTTTCTGCTTTTCTGCAGTCCCAGAACATTTGAGCCTCAGCTGGAGTTTGCAAATGGCCTGGATTTAATCAATAATTTAGTAGAACTGGGTTATTTTCAGAATCCCAGTGACATACCAAAGGAAACTTGAAGGCGTAAAAATACCAGATGCCCACATCATTCTAAATGCTCACTGGAGATAGGGGGTCGAGCAGCTTCCTGTTCCTGGGATATTTTAATAGCCAGCATTGTGTCCTGCAAATGTATTGTTGTGGTGAAGAATGTTTATGATTCAGTTTTTCCCCCCTTGGCTCCTGGGTCAGAGCTGCCAACTTCATCACCTTGCAAGCTGGGAAAGCATCCTTCAATGGAAATAGTAATGCGCTGAGGGAGAAGCCTTTTAAAATCTTAATTGCCTCAGCTGATGACATTGGAAAGCTGGCATCTGCTGTCGGAGCTGGGCTTTTTCATGGCATTCCTATTAGCTGAGAAACTGAACATTCCTTTTCCACTCTGATTCTGCTTCCTCATTTGTAAAACAGAGAAACAAACACTCATGGTAGATAGTTTCTGGGTAATTTAATGAGACATTAAATGAAAGCATGTAGCATAATGCCACTCATGTAGTTGCGACGTAAAGACTTTTATTTCTCCTTACCACTTAGCTCCCATTTAGCTTTCTGATTTCAGCAATGTCCTGGCTTAGGAACACCACCTTTCAAGGGAAGTGACCAGAGTCATTCTTCTAGCATTTTACTTATGTCCCTTGGCCCAGGGGACCCTGTTCTGGGAAAGAGATCTGAGTATTCGGGGGAGAATGAATGAGGATATGAGGGACCCTGTCCCCACATACACACTCCACAGTATCCTTACCTCCTAGACCTCAGATGCTTCCAGGTCCTTAGGAAGCAGTGCAATAAGGTATGGGAGGGGTAACTCCCCTGTACCCAATCAAGTGTGGAACTAGGAGCCACAACTCATCAGCCTAAGGAAGCAGAGACATTCTGAAGCATTGTGCAAATCTGTCTGGGTCTGAGGACAGTGCTAAGGATAGGGAAGTATCCTAGACTGTTCCTAATGGGGTTTCAGGCTTCCCTCTGGCTTCATCTCCTCAGGAAGGAGCAGTGGGATTGTCTCCCTCAAAGCAATCTACACTTGCTGCAGTACTACCTAAGGGAGTTTCAGAGCTCTGGGCGCAGCATCTGACAAGTAGAGAGTCCAGCCCCCTACCTGCTGAATCCTCTATCCCACAGGACCACCAGCAGAGAGGGCCAGTTTCCAAGGCTCTTTGTCCTTTAAAGAATTGGAGGTGTTGCGTGGGTGGGCACAAATACTTGATCTAACCACCAGGGCTAATATCCAGCTTTTCCATGCTTCAAATTCTACAGTTCCTCCTGAAAAGTGTTTTGAAAAGTCAGAACTCATGAATTTTCTTAAAATAAATAATTCTTATTAAAATTCAGTCATACCCAATCCAATGTCAAAAATCATACATTGTTTTCTGAAGTGCAACAGTATTGTTCTGAAGAATTGTTCTGAAGTATTGTTCTGAACACTTAGTTTTTTGTCCCCCTACTCTTCAAATGATGTCATTACATCCTAAGTTAAAAATCTTAATAAAGCAGAACAAGGTAGCAAATGTTTATTATACACTGGTATTCTATATAGTATATAGTATAATAGAATATTTTTATGGTATGTTATACTATATTGATGTATTTTAAGACTCACATTTACATTTCACCATGGTTAACTGTCAGGGGTGATGTGTACCTCTGTGTATGTATGATCTATGTTCCTATATATTTGGGTATACATATGTGTATGCAACTTGCAACATAAGCAAGTGTGGGAACCAATGTTACAGACACACTTTAAATAAGGTTTGAGGAGTCAATTCCTAATTTGCAGGCAATGGTGACTATCAGCTTGCAGCTTATCCACTTTGTGGATCTGACTGAAAGCAATTGTAATTTGTGGGTGTTTTCTTCCCTGCTTAACCTGTTTATCCCCTGTACATCTCTTATATGTATAGAAGACGTAGACTTGTTTAGCTATTAGCCCTTTATCCAGAATAAATGGAAAATGGCTGCAAAAATACCCCACAATAAATTCTCAGGCACAGTCTTCAGTTCCATTGACTAAGAAAGAACTGACTGAGTTCCCACATCTCCCTGGGAGCCAGGAGTGTATTAAAAGAGTAACAAAACACCATCCCTTTCCCTGAGTATTCTTCTCTTCTCATGGGAAGCAAGACATAAATGAACAAATAAGAAAAAAATAGAAGTCAGTAGATAATACAATTAATTGGGGAGCAGTGGGAGGAGAACCAAGGGGTAGATATCACTGGGACAGTTGGAGGAAGAGGCTGTCACTTGGTGAAGGCCTGGTAGGGATGGAGGGCTGGGGGTGTGCAGAGGAAGGAAAGCTCTCTTGGGGGTTGACCGGGCGATATGGAGATGCATGTGAAGCATGGCTGGGTTTGGATGGTCTACCTTACTACTCTTTTTGTCAGCAGGAATAATTAAGAGATGACTCTATGTATAAATTGGGGCCATGGCCAAATAATACCCAATTTGTTCATAAACTTTATTTTAAGAACTATTAATTCAGCCCTTTTTCTGAGCAGTAAATTAATATTTTATGAAGACTAAGTTACAGACACAAAATTGAATGCCTCTTTAAATACTATGATCACCAGCAGTGCATCCAATTTGTCATTGCTAAATTGTGTATTAGATTAAGTACTTGGTCATGTATTTTGGATTTTTTATTGCTAATTATTTTTGTCTTTCAGATTTTCCTGCATGGAAACAATCTGAACAGCCTCCACCAGCTAATACATCCTGAATTTCTGCCCTCTGAATTTGGAGGAACCCTTCCTCCTTACGACATGGGAACTTGGGCCCGGACGTTGCTTGGTCCTGACTACAGCGACGAAAATGACTATACTCACACTTCCTACAACACAATGCACGTGAAACATACGTCCTCCAGCCTGGAGAGGGAATGCTCCCCCAAGCCAATGAAGAGGTAAGGCCTGGGGGTCAGGGCCTCTCAGTCACAGGTCAGTAGGCATTTTTGATTTGGGCCTATTGTGGGCTAAGTAATTGAAGTCCTTTAAGGGCACAGAACTTAAAATAAATTGCAATACATTCTCAGATGAGTTCATTAGGATTGAAAGCAAATGGGACTTGGCTGGCCCAGAAATATATTTGTCCCTGATGTATTAAAGAATCAGTTAGAGGCTAGGACCTTGTTCATGTCAGCATTACAGTCCTAGTCTCTAGGGAGTCTTTTAATATACAAAGAATGAAATGTGGGCCCTTGGAAATACACTGGTTAAAAACGTAACCTTCTAGAAAACATTCCAGCCTTCCATGCCTTGATAACCTTCTACTGAGTAGTTACTTGGCTGCAGGCACTGATGGGGCACAGGGAACACAAATGTGAATAAGACATCAGAAGAACAGAGAAGAGTGGCTTGGAACAATCTGCCAAGTAAGACTTGTAGCAGGTGACATTCAAGCTGGGCTCTGAAGGGTGGAAATCAGCAAACCAGTCTTACAGGAGAAAAGCATTCTAGGCAAAGGGGACAGCAGAGGCACGGAGCCCTTGGAGGGATGGGCTAGTCTAGTGTGGCAAATACGTGTGTGGGGGCTGGGGGATGGGAGTAGGTAAGAATAAAATTATAAAGACTGTGGGGTCCAAGTGGTGAAGCATTTTGCGTACCATATTCAGTGGAGAGCCGTGAAAGGTTTTTGTTTTTATTGGTATACAAATAATATATGAGTACTTTCTTATTATAAGAATTAAAGCCTTATTTTTAAAACTAAAATTCCCTTCAACCACTATCCCCAGCTCCTTTCCTAATTCCTCCCCAAAGGTAACCACTGTTATCAGGCTGCTCTGGGCCCTTCCATTTTGCTTCCTATACATTATACATATCACACACACCCCTAGAAAATAAATACCTGCTATCATGTATTAGTTTGCTAGGTCTGCTACAAACTACCACAGACTGGGTGTCTTAAACAGCAGAAATGCATTTTCTCCCAATTCTGGAAGCCAGAGGCCCAAGATCAAGGTTTGCAGTGTTGGGGCATTCGGAGGCCCCCTCCTCAGCATATGGACGGCCGTCTCCCCCATGTCCTCACGTGGTCTTCCCTCTGTGTGTGTCAGTGTTCTCATCACTTCTCTTATAAGGACACCAGTCATTGGCTCAGAGCCCATCCTAATGACCTCATTTTACCTTAATTACTCTTTAAAGACCCTGTCTCCAAATACAGTCCTGTTCTGGGGTACTGGGAGTTACGGCTTCAACTTAGGAATTGGGGGGAGGACGCAATTTATCCCGTAACATATTGTTATGTAACATCTTTCCAAACTAGTAAATCTAGACATAGTTCTTGTTTTTAATACAGCATGGTATTGCAGAAGGTGGACATCTCACAGTTCAGCCATTTCCCTACCAATGGGCATTTAGGTTATTTCCAAGTTTTTTCTCTTCCGAACAAAGCTCAGCGAATGCCCTTGAAGTGCCGCCATCACCCCCACAGGGAAGCTCCCGTGGGTGAACTAGGAGCCCTCTAGTTGCTGGATCAGCGGGGGTTGCACTTTAAATTTTAGTCCACACTGCCCAGATGCCCTCTAAAATGACCCCACTAATAGACACTCCCACCAGCTCTGTGTGAGAATCTCCTTCCCCAGACCCTTGAAAAGTACAGGATATTATCATTTATGACTTTAATTTTAGTCATAATCCTAACGGTGGGACAACTCCATGTCATTTTTGTTTTCATTTGTATTTCTATTTGTACCAGACATAGCTGAGCAGAGAAATGAACTCATAAGGCCTGGGTTTTATAAGGATCATGGATTAGCAGGGAAATGGAGACTAAAAGCCATCAGAAGACCAATGCAGGGGCTCAGGTGGGAAGTCGAGGGTCAGAGCTAATGCGGAAGCAGAAGCGGACTCGCTCAGTTCTGGAGATGTTTGTTAGTGGAGGGGTGTCACTGTGGAAGTCCCCTTTGGGGAACTGGACTTATGTTGTGTCCTGAAGCAAAACAGAGTGTCCAGAAGGGAGACCTCTGCATTTCCTGCTCACTGGGGCACATGGTTCTCTGATGTCTGGGAAGCCTCCCTGCTGGGTCTGATGGACCTGGAAATTCATGGACCCCCAGGTTGATAGTCAGCATTCTCCGGGAAGTGATGGTCATGTTGGCTGAGAGTCTGTCTTTGCGTCTCTACAGTGAAGGGACTGACCTTCCTGGTGTGGGTGAGACTGTCCTGCCGTCAGTCCAGGTCACAGCATGACAACGACAATGTCACAACTCTCACTGCTCACACTGTTCTGAGCCCTTTATCTGAACTAACTCTTTTAATCCTCATCACAACTGTATGAGAAAGGTGTGATTATTCACATCTTACAAATGAGGAAACAGGCACACAGAGGTTCAGCAATGCCCAAGGGCACACAAGTAGTGAGGCCAGCTGGGGTCCACACCTGGGAGGGCTGGATCCGTGTGGGTCTGTGCTCTGTGTTGATGTCCTCTGTAAGATGTGACACGCTGCCTGCTTTTCCTCACTCTTTATGTCCTCTGCTTTCATGCCGGGCTTCTCTCCCCAACCTCCATGGGCAGGGACAGTGACATCTCATGTGGCCTGTCCCACCCTATCTCTAGACACTTTTGGATAAAGCCATCATACCCTCATATATGTCTGAACTTCCAAAGTCAAGTGGCAAAGAATAGGAATTTGCTACTCCACGCCCAGACTATCAGTTACATAGTTGCATGCATTTTGGATGACCAGGCATGTCCTGAGTCCAAGTTGTACCTTTGAATTGATGTTGAGGATCAGAAGAGGTGGTAACCTCAAGTTCTGGAGAGGAAAGTCTCCGTGTACCTTTATTCACCTTACCCCCTCCCCAAGAATCCAACTCCATGTCCCACACAGTGCACACAAAGCAGATACACTGTGCTGCTCACTGCATATGAATGAATCGATGCTGGATGAAAGCTACTCCCTCCAAATCCATCGTTGGTGTGCTTGTCCAGTTGCTTCAACCAAATTGTCAGTGCCCAGGTGGAAAACGTTAATTTCTGCCGGCTTTCATGGATCCTGCCTTATAGGATCTTACAGCCTAGTAGGAGAGATAAGATGTGCCCACAAATATCTATAGTACAGTGCAGAATGGGAGAGGTACTATAAAGGAGGTCTAAGCCCTCCTGCAGTGTTCTGAGGAAGTGTTCACTAATTTCAACCAGTAAGACTCTTAGAAAAGTCTTCAAGGCATAGCTGATCCAGATTTTTGGGAATATTAAGATGTCAGGGTCAAAATCCAAGGCTATGCTGGAGAAGCTAATAATTGTATACACATCTCGTTACTCCCCCGAGGCCACCGAGGTGTTCTGCCCGCTCCTGCTCTGCTTTGGGGTGACATCATTAAGCCTTCGCAGTAGGTTGGGGAGTGGGGAGTCTGGCCCCAGCGGTTATGCTGGCAAGGAGGGAGCACCCCTGCTGTGAGACAGGGCCTGTTTTCAGGTTCTTCGCTGATGGAGGTCCGTGGTGACTGAGAAAATTACAGGGACACAACAACTGCCATTCATAGCCTATTTTGACCCCCCAGAACCCACAGGGACATGGAAAAATTGAAAACAGAATTGGAGCTGTTAAAGGTCATGTCTTCTGGTTTCCCACCCATACCATCGTCTGTTCTCTAGCCCAGACTGTCTGCCCACAGCAGGGCAGGCAGCTAACGGGGCAGGTGTTCGCTGAGGCATGGCTTTAAGAAGGACCTCCTTGTTTTGAGCCAGATGACCTGGGTTTGTCTTCTGGAGCAGTGCTGTAGCTGCCGGTGGGTAGATGCTGCTTTTACTTCTAATTCCTGCCATAGTTTCCAACAGGTTTTGGGGGCCATTTGAAGTCAAATGGGCTTTTGTGGAACGTCCTTGGGAACTAACCACTTTTTACAGTGTGGCTCTGAGCACAAACGGTGTCTGGAGTGCAAGCGGCTTGGGACAATATATTCTGGCATGTGCAGAGTAAAATACAGGATGTATGAAATTCTCAGTGAATGTGTGGTTCTAATGAGCTCTTTTTCTTCCTTTTTCAGATAAACTTGATTTAATCCTTAAGCAAAAAACTTCTAAAATTAGGAGTTAAGATGGAAATTAAACAGATTCTCTCAATATTAATCTGTTCTTTAGTATAATGATTCCTTTTTGGGCTTTTGAGTGTGTAGGATTCTCTGTTCTGATACTAAGTGGCCCCAAGTTTTGTATTTTTAATTTCTTGTTTCTGTTTTTAATAATTTAAATTCTATTTCCTTGCTCCCAGGCCATCAGCTGTGACTTTCTGTTCCTAGAATAATGTTTATCAGAGACATTCCATTTCCTCCTAATTAACTCCTGGAATACATTTTGGGCTTGCAGAGTAGGTAGCCAAACTTATTAAAACCATCTAACAAATAATAGGAAGGAGGATTTGTATCAGTTGTGATTATTTGGGCTGTGAATATGACAAAACTCCAACTGAACTTCTTTAAACAATGTGGAAAATTTGTTTTTTTCCCCATAATGAGAAGTCACAAAGTAAGGTGACCCCAGGAGTGTTATTCTGGGGGTTCAGTGGTGGCAAACAGACCCCGTTCCTTGCCCAGTGTCCAGCAGCATAATCAGAGACTTTTCAGACAGGAGTTCACCCCTGCGTGACATGGGCAGGAGGACACCGAAGCCGAGGAGCTCCTTGCCTCCTGCGGAGGAGAAGGGAATGGCTTGGGGCTTGGAACCAGCAGCTCTGCTTCAGGGTTGAGGGTGAGGACCTGACATCTCCCCCCAAGGAAGTCAGTGCTTGGTTTTGTAACCAGTTTGTAGATTTTGTGACATCTTTTTCAGTTATTAGACTTTTTTTTATTAATTGCTTTCTGGTTCTAGACCTTATCTCTGATAAAGTAATTAAAATGTGTGTAAATATTAAAAAGGCACACACACACACAGCCACACACACAAACACACTATCTTAAAGTAAC